GGCGGAGCACCAGGGAAAGCCTGGGGCCTGGGAGCAGTGCGCGCGCGGAAAGAAGTGTCCCCGCTCGTGCCCAGACCCTGCATCCCCAGTCTGTTCCTGGCCAGACACCCTGCCCACAGGCCCCTAGTTTAGTTTCATAAAATGTCAGCTATCCTCAACCAATTGATCTCCATTGCAGTCCCACATTTCCCCCCTCCCCCCTTCCCTGTGTTTTGTAGTAGCAGACCATACTTTAACAAAGCATCAGCTGAACTCAGGCTGCTGGAACCCCAAGCTGATTTGCTGGATGTCTTCCCAGCTGGGGGTTGTTGTATTTTCTTTGAAAGGTACTTATAGAGACAGTCCGGCTCATTGCTTTGAATTGTTGCTAGATTCCCTCTTCTGATCCTGAAGAGGAGTCAGCAGAAGACTGACCTGGACAGAAGCTGTGTCTGCAGCACAGAACAAGTTCCAGCAATGACTAATAGGTCAACGTTCTTCCTCGCCATAGCCAACCAGAGGAGACTACTTTGGGGAGAGGGGAAATCCCTCCAGTCCTTGCAGGTTCCCAGCTGCAGCAGCAGGTGGGAAGGAACTACCAGGGTCAAGGCTGCAGTAACTTCACACAAGGGGGAAGTACCTGTGGCTTCCCAAAGAAAATCCAGTCACTTTGTGGGGTGTTCAGCAAGAAGTGCATGTGCCTGGAATAGTTATTACATTGGGAGTTATGTGTTTGTATGAGAGTGAGCTGACTGGGACCATCAAACCAGCGTTTTTATCAGTGTATCTCAGGAAAATAAGGTATATTGGCAAACTGCACATTTGCCTCCCTTCTGCTCCTAGCCCCATGCCTATTCCTCTGTTCCACATGATGCCTGCTTTCCTTTCACTCCCAGAACTCACCTAACCTGCTCTTCTTTATCTCCTTCCTCTCCCCTAATGAACATAGATCCCCATGTTCCACAGTCCACTTTCCCTGTGCTGACTGTACTCCCCATCCTTTTCAAAACTTCAGCAGAGCTGGTTTCCCTGTAGAATTGATTTGGACTTCTTTAAAATGTGGTACATGCTAGGGTTTCTTTTTCCTGCAGTGGGGTGGATACACTGAGGGGGAGGAAATGCAAAACCCTGCTTCCGACAAGCATTCAGGCATTTTCTCCATGGCCTGAAAGTTGCTCAGCGTCCCACTTGATCCCAATACTCTCCAGCCTGGAACCCCCTCCCCAAGCCAGCATCCCCTTCGCCACCCAAATTCCCTCCCAGAGCTTACATCTCTCACTGCCTTATTCCTACCCCAGAGTCTAGTGAAATTGAGTAAGGGCTGAGGACAGCAAGTGAGGGGGGGAGGGGCAGAAATGAAGTGGGCAGGGCCTCAGGGAAAGGAGAGGGGGTAAATCTTGGCTTGATCTGACACAAAGTAAACTTGGGTGTAAAAAGGTTGGAGACCACTGCTGTAATTGATATTATGTTTGTGACTTAGTTCTTATAATTGCTAATGTGGTGCTGTTGTATCTGCAGCTTGGCATAGACAATGGGTATTATGTACTATTTCCAAAATTGGTAAAAATCAAGTTATCTTAAAAAAAAAAAATCACACAAACTACAGATTGAACATCTGTGGGCCAGGACTCTCGGATATTGCAGGACTAGAGCGCCCAAGAACAGAGGTAAAGCAGGGAGCTGAAACTCAAGGGCCAATCCTCAACCTAACTTGCTGAACTCAAACATAGCAAATTATCTGAGCTAGAAAGGATGAAATTTAGTCAGTAAAGATATAAAGTATTCCACTTAGGAAGGAATAATTAGTTTCTCACACAGACACAATGATAGAGAGGTGTTTTTTAAAATATAAAACTGTCATTGTTATAAGACACAAACAGGAACATTTTAGTTTTCACAAACAGCAAACATACTTATACATAGTTAAAAGGTCTCTTGCTAGGTCTACACAACAAGGTTTTTGCGCAAAACCCCGCAGAGCGTCCACACCTCAAGCATGCTTTTGCGCAAGGAAATCAACGGTGAAACGGCAGAACAGAGGGCTCTTTGCAGTGTAGGTAAACCTTCTATAAGGCATAACTCCTTTTTGCACTACAGCTGTTGCACAGAAAGGCATGTGTGGATGCTCCTCAGGGGTTTCTTGTGCAAAAAGAGCCTATCTGAAAAAGCACAGGTGCTCTGCTGGCCATTCTGTGAATGGTTATTGGAGCTTTCTTGAGCAAGAGCGTCCATGCAGTGTGGACATTCTCTTGCACAAAAGCGCATTGCAAAAGCGATGTGCTTTGAGGTGTGGATGTTCTCTTGTGCAAGAAGTTTTTACGCAAAATGCCTGTAGTGTAGATGTAGCCTCAGAGACTACAGAGCCCACAGCGCATGGTGACAGCTCCCTGGGAGCAGGGCTGGCAGCCAGGATATTGCATGTAACCATAATGGAAACCAGTAAGCTGATGTTTATTGGTTAACTGTTAAAATGGTTACAATCTTACATCTCTATTCTGCATGGCTTTGTGCTTATAGGAAACTACTCCCACTGGCTGCAATTACTGGCTAGTGGGAGCAACGGGGGTGTAGCTTGCAAGTGATTGTAGGGATGGAGCTTCCCTGTGCAACTCTTCACAGAGCTGCTTCTTCCCTGCTGCGGGCTGCAGCCTGCAGCTTGCCTGGATCCAGTCCATGAGGCTCAGGGCCCCCTTCTCCCCTGCAGCAGGATAAGATGGTACTGTTGCTCCAGCCATGCAGGGAAGGGGGGGGGGTATGTGATGGACCGGGCTTGGTCTAGGCACCACTGAGGGCATCAGCTCAGGGTGAATTGCTCAAAACCAGGGCTACTTACAGCCCTCGAGTGGAGACCTTTCCCAAATAGTCCACAAACCAGTCACACAGAGCACTTCAGCTACCAGTCTTGCCAGCAGGAAGCCTCACAAGCAAAACCCCTCAGGCACTCCAGCTCTCCCTGTGCCACAATCAGCCCCACACCTTACACATAAGGTGAGAGGTTATAAAACCTGATCTCACCCACTCAGAACAGATCCTCCTAGT